CATATACACAAAAACAAGCATGATCATATGCAAACTCAGATGCAGAACGTGTTTGTAACAGTGGAACTACTCTATGGAACTCGGGGAAAGGAGGAAAGGAAAAGAGAATGATAGAGCTTCAGTAATACTGCATACCATTAGATGTGAAGGTAGAGGATATAAGGATGTATATTGAAAGCTGCTGAAAAATTGAGGGGGAGGGAGGTAAAAGGGTAAGGGAGAGTAACAGAAGGGGTTGACACGACCAAAGTAAAGCACACCCACAGTGGGCATACATTGAGACACCCCTTTGAAAGTGAACTTCAATATTAATAATGAAAACCAGTACTGAAAAATAGGTACAGTGTGTACAAAGCAGGGAAGTACTATGGAGAGGGGAGGGTGAAGGAAAGAGATTAAGGTGAGGGTATATGGTTGATGGACTTCATATACCTATATGAAACAGAACTTAAAAACCTCTTGCAATTGCCTTAAGTGGGGTGAGGTGGGGGCAGAGGAGGAGAGACGATGGGGCAATATAAATAATGTACAATATAAGTCTGTTGTTACTATGAATAGTGGGACTAGTCACTACAAATCTTCTCCTGTATAATGAAGATATCCTAATAAAAAATTAATAATAATAATAATAATAAAAGAACACTGGCTCAGCCCAGTGGCTCATGCCTGCAATACCAGCTACAGTGGAGGCAAAGGTTGGAAAGATCACAGTTCGAGGCAAACCTGGCAAAAAGTTAATGAGACCCCCCCATCTCAACAAATAAGCCAGGTGTGGTGGATATACATCTTGTCATCCCAGCCACACAAGAGGCGTAAGTAGAAAGATGGTGGTCAAGGCCAGCCCAGGAAAAAAAACACTAGACCTTATCTGAAAAACAAAAGCAAAAAATGGCTGGGGATGTGACTCAAGTGGTAGAGTGCCTGCTTAACAAGCATGAGGCCCTGAGTTCAAACTCCGTATTGCCAAAAAAAAAAAACCAAAAAGCAAACCACACACACACACACACACGCACACACACACACACACACACCCTAAACCAAAAAAAACACCACACCTGACTTGGAATGACATAGGATGAGACCCATCCTTTGTTTAAAGGAATGCCCCAGGAACATGTATCTATGTCATGGTAACCCAAATTTAGTAAACTAAGACTTGATATCTCTTGTTGAATTAGTAATGTCAAAACAGAATACCTATAAAGATAATGAAAGCATACCAGTGCTCAGAATAAAGAAAAGTGCTTAATTCAAAGAATTTTGAACAAAACTCCCTATGGTACTTTTTCAACAAAAAAAACCCTGATATCAAGTTTTCTCATTGTGTCTCCCATGGAACCCCCAAGCTCTACCGAATACGTTTTGCTTTCTGCATGCTTGATTTATCTCAGTCTCAGTCAAGTTTCACTAGAAAAACCTTGGTGTTAAGGGTCCCACTGAGATTGCAAAAGCATACTTTCAATTGATTTTGAGGCTCTCACCTTTAAGCTACAGGGCAATTGATCTCTCTCCAGAACCTGGAGGAGGAATCTGTCCTTCTTGCCTTTAGAATGGAGGGAGGGAGCAGCAGCGTTTGCCCCTCCGTACATTCCTCCCTGGGGCTGGGCATTGGGAGATTTCATCAGTTTGTGCGTGGAAAGTTGTCCAGTTCTGACTCTCTTCATAATTGGCTCTCAACCTATGTGCATTGGAAGGATTAGGGTTCTGCATAATAATTCACAATTTCCTGGCTTTAATCCCAATGTGTTTGAAAGTAGTGCATCCTCGACACCTACTCAATGTTCCTATAGACACTAAAGTAAGTTTTATGTGTTGTTTTGAAAAAATTGTTAGGTTTCCCAACCAATTTTGTGATCTTTAGCAAGTGACTTTGCTTTTCAAGTCAGTTTCCTCATTTCCAAAGTAGGGGATGATAGTAGGTACCTTCCAGGGTAGCTGGGAGATTTCAAGAAGACAAGGGTGAGTACAGAGCCTACTGTATATTTGATACATGGTAGATGCTCAATACATGGTCACTGCTGTATTTTCCAGCATTTATTTTTATCATTAATATTGTCCTTATCAATGTCATGGGAACAAGAGACTTCAGGGAGTCCTGAAGAATAGGACAAATGGGAAACTAGAAATGAGTGTGGTCTCATTTTTAGTCTAGCATCAGCTTTTTTTTTTTTTAAGGCAACTGATCTGTCCACTTTAAACTTTAATTCTCAGGGGTGTATTATCTGGAAGACATGCAAACTAAAAAGAGAACTGAGAGCTGAGGAGATCAAATCAAGGTGAAGGATTTGGGTAAGAACAAAGATGATGTTTCACTTTGGCCATGGGAGGAGTAAAGCTAAGTAAGAAGAGAGGACTGAAAGAAGCCATTCTCCTTTGTGTTGGTGGTGACTCTAGGTGATAAGGAAAGTGGTTGGGGGTGGGAGGGAGCTGGGGTTAGGTCAGTCTGTCCTGAGAGGATCCTTTGTGATCACCCCTATGACACAGGGGTGATTTGCTCTGTGGTTGTGTAGGAGAAGGTTGGGAAGTTTTCTGGATGGCAATTGAACCAAGGGTGGGATCAAGAGAATAACAAGAGCCCTAACTTTTCCTTCTAGAAGCATACAAATTACATTAAAACCCTAGGAAGCAGTTGATTGGAATTGAGGTGGGAATGTTACCGGTAGGTAGTCTCGGAAGACCTCAGTTGAGATCTCAGATCTTTGGGGCCCTGAACAAAGAACTGGACAGAGACACAGAAATTGCAATGTAGCAGCAGAGTTTTATTGGGAATAAGAGTGAAACAGGAAAGTATACTCCCCAAAGAAGGATGGAGTGTGGACTCTGAGCAGATGGCTTAAGAGTAGCACCTATAGCTCAAGAGCACCAGTGCCTTGGGTATTATGTATTACGGGTATTTATAGCAAGAAGTGTGTAAGTGGAAGAGATTTGGGTGGTACTTAGGAGTGGCTTTTGGTGATTGACTACATATGAAAATTCAATAAGATGCAGTCCTTATTCATAATTAGGGGTCCCTGTGCACATGCCCCAGTTTGGGTCCAGATGAAAATGCTATTTCTAAAGGGGTTTCTTGGGCGGTTCTGGGTGGGCCAGATTACCTATTTTCCATGGGACAATTTATGAGGAGGCTACCTGTTCCCCATGACCTGGTTTTGGTGCTTCCCCTAAATTTCCTGCCTCTGGAGCAGAAGCTAGCACATGAACAAGGAAAATACTAGAAACAGTATTCATTTAATGTTTCCCAATCCGGTTGAAAACTGAGAAGCTAGGTTCCTTTTTCCAAACCAAAAATAAATTTCCTGCTCTCTTTTCATGTTACTCACTATGTTATGTATGCTAAAGAAGACAATTACAGACACACGCAAACACCCAAGACAGCTCCTTTCTGCTCCTCAGTGGAATTGGTAACTCCAAGGAATCAGGTGTAACAATCAGTAGGTGTAATTCCCTTAACTTCTAGGTGGAGCAAGCGAGATGTGTGACAGAGGACAGACCATGTTCTTGCAGTTTCCTTACACTTGCACTCACATGTGTTGACCTGACATGCAAAGTCAACACTGAGGCACCAAAGCACCATGTCCAGACTCAACAAAGTGATGGCAAAAACCACAGGTACAAAAGTCACACCCTTTGGGGTAGAAGTGAGCTCTGCCCTAGCTAGCTGCTATGACCTTGAGAAAGTGACTTAGCCTACAACTTTAAAATGCCTAATCACTTGCTCCTACCTTGAAAGGCTGCTGTGAAGACAAATGAGTCCATGTGCATAACATGTTCAGTGCGCTGTTAGCAGCTGTTACCTGAGATGCCTGTGTTTTGCTCATGCATCTGTCTGCCCGTACCTTGCAATATTTGAATTCTGGCTTTGTCACTTACTAAATGTGTGTCCTGGGGAAAGTTTTGGGAGCAATGATGATTACTTTCAAAAGTCATTGTGAAGATTAAACAGTAATGTGTTTAAAGTGTCTGACACATGTGAATATGTTACTGCTTGGTAGTTTTTATTAATCATCTGTAAACATGGGATAACAACTGCCTCAGTTCTGTTCTTCTTACACATTGTTATGAGAACAACGTAATTAAAAAAGCAGTGCAAAGCACTATCCTAATGTCAATACTTCCAGCCTTTTTGTAATCCATCAGTGTGAATTGCAGTTGTCCTGCAATAGCAGGAAGATAAACACGGTGGATAGCAGAGCCCATTATTCAATTGTAACTAAGCTGCTGCTTTTATCATTAGGAAATCCCAGACTGGTCAATGTAAAACATACAGCTAAAGCTTGCTTGAGAATACTACTTTTTAATTTACTGAAAACTGCTTTCCAAGTTTTTAATTCTGAAGCAACTATTACAGGTTGGTGATTAATAACTAAAGGGTTTCCTTACAGTGGGCAGATTTTTGGAGACATTTTATTGGTAAATGCTGATCTGTGTTGGTCTGGAGCATTGTGGTTCTTGAAGATTTTCTGCATTTTGACCCACAGGTCATCTAGGGTTGGGTATAAACACAGGACTCCCAATCCTTGGAGATAGGGCATCTGACCTCCAGACAAATTTTTCTTTCACAACTGGCAAATGTAAGTGTGTGTTTTCCAAACTAATTTATATTCAGGTCCCACATTTTAAATTTTGTCTTACTGAATTTGAGGGAAATTGCTACTTTTGTTCACAAAACAATGATCTCTTTCTCTCTTGAATGGAAGTTGCACACCTCTCCACAAGAGTGACCATCTAAGAACATGTCCTGTACTTATTTCCAACCCCAACAAATGCCAACACAGTTACATGTCTGGTGCAGAAATGAATAAAGCCAGGTATTCAAGTGCATTTAGACTTCCTCCAAGAACTATTTCTCCTCCTAATCAGTTTGATCCCCTCCCTTTTCTTTCCCCTTGATTAGACTTGCTGCTCACTGTAACCTGGAGTGTGCTTTGGAATATTTTGTTTTTCCCATTAAAATACTTACAGCCCAGTAGTACCCCCATACAATATTGATGATCAATCAATGGTTTTTGAGTGTATTTATTTAGTCTTTGGAATGCTGTTTTTGTAGTGACATTTCAGCTGACAACTTTTAATCAAGAATTATTTCGTCCTCCTTAATAACAAGATTGGAAGGTGTTTTCTTCCTTTCTGGCAGAATAAAATCAGCATGTCCTGGTGAAAGCTTAGGGAAAGTATAATTGATGTATTTTTGAAATGCTGCCCTGGTTTCCTGTAATTCCTCCTCCAGAAAATTTTTCCAGTTTGTCATAATTCCCAGTTGCTTTGCTATGGTCAGCAGCTCCCCCTGGGTATTAACCAGTTTACCCATCACATTGCCAAGAGTAGCCCGATGTGTTTTCTCTGCTTCTTGAAGCACTTCCTGCACTTCTTCTTGTTTCTGCTTCTGAGCCAAGCCGTAGTATACATTCATTTCAAGTTCCTTTGCCTTTATCAACTGGCCCATATTTGCCTTCTGGTCCTTAATAACTGTTATACCAGTATTCACAAGGTCCTCCATGGCCTTGCTACAAGAGATAACACAGATTTATAAACTAAATGGATTAACCACTAAAAACACCATGATTTTGTCCTTAACCACAGATGTACAAGCAATCATTGCTTATCATCCTTAAGATAAGCACCATCCTAAGTAAGACAGACTGGTACAGATGAGCTTTTGGACCGTGTTCACTATTAACAATCAATTAAAAGTATGTTCCAGAGCCAAGAGGCTGCCCATCAACTTCCCTGCTGTGGGACGGGGCGAGGCCACTAGTCTAATGTCTAACGGCAACTTTGGGCATCAGAAAAATATGAACACATCATGCTTAAAGATGAAGAAATGGCTCAGAGTTCCAAACTCATAAATTATTTCTGTATGTCAATTCAGCTGCTTATCTTTAACCAGAGGGAAGAAACCTTTACCCTCACAGGTTAAAGTCAGCTTTAATCTTGATTTTACCTGAGCTATATTCTATGATGGCTGCCTCAAACTTTTTGGTTCCACTTTACACTAAAAATTGTTCTTTTGTTTATATGAGTTATATCTATTCATATTAACAGTATTAGACACTAAAAGTGAGAGATTTTTAAAACATTAATTAATGCAAAATAGCAATAAATTCATTACACATTAACATAAGTATTGTTATAATAAACATCTTTTCCAACACAATAAAACATTTGGTGAGAAGAGTGACATAATTTTACACTTTTTTTGCAAACTACTTTAATATTTAGCCTAACAACTACAAAAAGCTGGATTTTGTAGTATTTCAATCATTAAACCCCCAGAAAATTCCATTACACACTCATTGGAGAATGAAAGGTAACCTCTTAGTATTATCAAGGAAACAGCTTTGACTTTACAAATACCCTCCGCAAAAGGTCTCAGAGATCCTGAGGGTTCACGGATTAGACTTTAAGAACTACTGTTGAATGATTCAAACCTCTGGATATTACATATGTAATTATATATAATTCACAGCAGCTAACCCTGTTGACCTCTTACCATATGTCAAGCAGGTCAAGGAGCTTCTATGCATATATTAACTCAATGACTCCTTCAATTCTGTGAGATGCTTCTGGTATTATGCCCAGTTTATGATAAGGTCACTGAAGCTCAGAAAGGTTAAGTACAAGTTCATTTAATTTGTAAAAGTGGCAGAATCAGTGCCACAACCCAGGAAGTCTGAGTTCAGGGCAACAGTTCTCAGCCACTGAATGACACTTTCAGTGGGTTTCTGAAGTTAACCTAGTTTGAACAGAGTCCCTGAAGAGTTGAAATTTTTAAATCTGCAAATGTTAGATTCAAATATTATATTATTAAAAATCCACCCTTTCTCCTTCCCAGTCTTAATAAAGTCTTTCCAAGATTTATCACTTACTCTGTCATCTAAATTCCATCCTCTAAGGTACAATTCTCTCATTTTTCTCATTTTTTTCTTTTGCTTTGACTTTTAAACCTGACTGACTTCTCCAATCTTGAAGGAAACATCTTTCATCCTTAGCCTCTAGTTTCTAAGCTATTTCTCTTTTTCCTTCCCCAACAGCTAGGCTATATCCCCTATTAACAGGAAGAGCTAATGTTGATTGAGCATTTACTGTGTCCCAGAGATTGTGCTAGGAATTTTATGCAGCCATGAAGAAGAACGAAATGTTATCATTCGCTGGTAAATGGATGGAATTGGAGAACATCATTCTGAGTGAGGTTAGCCTGGCTCAAAAGACCAAAAATCGTATGTTCTCCCTCATATGTGGACATTAGATCAAGGGCAAACACAACAAGGGGATTGGACTATGAGCACATGATAAAAGCGAAAGCACACAAGGGAGGGGTGAGGATAGGTAAGACACCTAAAAAACTAGCTAGCATTTGTTGCCCTTAATGCAGAGAAACTAAAGCAGATACCTTAAAGCAACTGAGGCCAATAGGAAAAGGGGACCAGGAACTAGAGAAAAGGTTAGATCAAAAAGAATTAACCTAGAAGGTAACACCCACGCACAGGAAATCAATGTGAGTCAATGCCCTGTATAGCTATCCTTATCTCAACCAGCAAAACCCCTTGTTCCTTCCTATTATTGCTTATACTCTCTCTACAACAAAATTAGAGATAAGGGCAAAATAGTTTCTGCTGGGTATTGGGGGGGGGAGCGGGAGGGGTGGAGTGGGTGGTAAGGGAGGGGGTGGGGGCAGGGGGGAGAAATGAACCAAGCCTTGTATGCACATATGAATAATAAAAGAAAAATAAGAAAAAAAAAAAAAAGAAGTAACCTAGAAGGTAACACCCACGCACAGGAAATCAATGTGAGTCAACTCCCTGTATAGCTATCCTTATCTCAACCAGCAAAAACACTTGTTCCTTCCTATTATTGCTTATACTCTCTCTACAACAAAATTAGAAATAAGGGCAAAATAGTTTCTGCTGGGTATTGAGGGGGTGGGGGGGAGAGGGAGGGGGTGGAGTGGGTGGTAAGGGAGGGGGTGGGGGCAGGGGAGAGAAATGAACCAAGCCTTGTATGCACATATGAATAATAAAAGAAAAAAAAGAATTTTATAGACATTATATCTCATTAAATTTTTACAGGAACCCACTGAAGTTGGTGCTATTTTTATTTACTCCCTATTTTTATTAGGAAATTGAGGCCTACAAATTCAATGTCAGACAAATGAGAAACTGGAGAGTTGCTGCCTGTAACTGTTACCTGCTTCAATCTCATGAGAGGTGACTATAAAACTTTTTTCACTGGAGGGTAGCATGATGAAAACATTTTAGAATTATTATGGTAATAGTGAGTGAACTAAATCTTAGTGGGGTGAGGTAGAGAGACCAATTAATATTATTCTGTAATGTTCTGGAGGTGTAAGGATGAGGGTCTGAACTAATGGCAAAAGAGTGGTAAAAAACAGGAGAGAATGAGATAAACCCAAGAACAGCACATGGTCATAATTGCTAGCATCAATAACTGTAAGGGATATGACAAATGAGGAATCAAATCTGTCTTCCTGATTTCCAACCTGGGTCACAGGAGAATGGAGTGGCCCTTAGCAGAATGGATGCTGTGGGGAGAGTTGAGAATGTGTATAGGTAGCATCCACACACATGTGGAACAACAACACAAGTGACAGTGCTCGGTGTTGGACTTATAGCCTCTGCCACCAGTAACATTCTGTCACCAATATGCCTGGCATCCAGCAGAGGGCATGTCAAGTTCAACAACACAGCCTCCAGTGCTCTTTCCACTGAAGAGGTCCCTTTGCTATCTCCACCTGTATAAGGTTATAGACTTGGAATTTTGAAATTCAGCCCATATTTAAAGGGGGTACTGGTCAGAAGTGTAGTTGTACGAACAGTTGCAGTGTGTCCACATCTGCAGTTTGGTAAGATTCAGTTTGGTATTTTATGAAATGGACTCTTTGAGTATAAAAAAAGATTATTAACTGAAAATATAATCTAATATCTAATAACCTAATCTTACTAGGCTTAGGGAAAAATCATAGAAAAATAGCAATCAATTTGTCCTCTGCTTTCTTTAGGCACTCCCCCCTCACCTTTTTTTGGTGTTATTGGGATTTGAACTCAGGGGTAGGCAGGCTTTCTACCACTTGAGCAACACTCCCAGGCCTTTTTTGCTTTTAGTTGCTTTTCGGGTCTTGAGTTTTTGCCCAAGGTTGGCCTCAGAACATATGTATGTCTCCTATGTAACATGCACCACCAAGCTTGGCTTATTTGTTGAGATGGGGTGTTGCTAACTTTTTGCCCAGGATGACCTCAAATTGCAATCCTCTTGGTCTCTGCTTCCCATGTAACTGGGATTATAGGTATGAGCCATAACACCTAGCCCTTTTCAGAACCTCTTTTAACTCTCCTCATTATTTTTGGAAGGCTGTTGAAATGTTACAAGACATATTGCTCATAGTTTCAAAGAAACATATCAGTGAGTGTTCCTTTCCTTCTACTTATTAAGTGAAAATTTCACTTTCCTTATATATATTGCTAACAGCACACTTTTCAACTCCCTTCTATGTTCATCAATAAAAATACTAAATCTTAAGATAATAAGATCTTAAGACAATAAGAAGTGGTATCTGAATTGTCCTGTGGGCCATTTGTAAATTATGATAGGATATGTTCCTAAAAGTAATTTGTATATAAAGTGGAGCAGTATTGAACAGAGCAGCTCATTTGCCTTGCTAGCCCATAAACTAATAATCCACTTTTCATTTGACCTATAGGGCTGTTAACTCTATTTCAATCAGATATAATCACTGTGTTCAGAAGGAAAATGCACTCTATTTTCTACCTTGGACTCTGTGAAGCTCTAGCTCGCAGGTCTGGCAGGAGGATCAGTGACACCCTCAAGCTGGGCTGTGGGAACACTAGAAGCTAGGAACATGGCTGACATGTGCAGAAGTCAGTCTTCTGCAACACATGTGTATCCAGTTATTAATACTCTCAAATATCTACCACCCTGCCTCATTATACATCAAGCCTTCTTCTTCCATGTCTTTGTTCATTCTGTTCTCAGTTTTTTGCCTCTTTCACAAATGGGATCTCCCATCTTCTAAGGCCAAACCCAAGACCAACTTCCTCCCAAAACCCTACCTTGCCCATACCACGCCCACATTTGCTTCATCTTTCCATGACTTTGAACTCTTCCAACACCTGTGTGTAACTTGTGCCAGGGTATTCAACCTTGCTCAGAGGGCATAACCATGCTATGGCTTGCTTCACATAATGTTAAGGAAGGGCCCTGACTTACTTCCTTTTCTTTCCTTCCTTCCTTCCTTCCTTCCTTCCTTCCTTCCTTCCTTCCTTCCTTCCTTCCTTCCTTCCTTCCTTTTCTTCCTTCCTTCCTTCCTTCCTTCTTTCCTTCCTTTCTCTCTGTCTCTCTGTCTCTGTCTCTGTCTCTCTCTCTCTCTCTCTCTCTCTCTCTCTCGCCTCAGCCTCCCAAGTGCTGGTATTATAGGTGTGAACTACCATACCCCACGGGACCATGATTTATTTATGCCAGAGCTTCAGTGCCACAACTGCCAAAGGCACTTGATAATTGTGGTGACATGGACAGACCCTCTGAATAACTCACATAACTTCCTATACATCTGAGTGACATAATGGATAATCACAGACTTTGACATCATACAGATCAGGATTCAAATCAGTCAGATCCTGCCACCTCCTTTCCAGGTAGTCTTTGTCAGTTTGCTTAGTTTCTAAGACTCAGTGTCTTAATCTGAAGATATGCAGAATGACAGACTCTGCTAGGGAGGTGCTTAAGAATTCAGTGAGAAGTATACAAAAGGTGAAGTATGTACTGGGTATGAAATGAAGGATGGTTATCCTCAGGAACTATAGCCATGACCACAAAAATTCCTGAGCAGTTGCTTCATTCATGTCTTGCCTCGGCCTACAAAATAATTAGAACCTTTCCAAGCAGAGATGTTTAATTTTTTTAACTTTCAGAGAAAAGAGTCTAGTGTTTCCTGGACAATCTGTTTAGACTCTAATTAACTTAATCCATAAAAAATTTCTATACAATTATGAAATTTCTCTCAACAGGTAAGCATTCTGAATCCCTAAGTCTTAGATGAAAGTTGATAGCCAAATAAAGGATGTACAGTTGAATTTTAATCAGTGGTCTGTTTCCATATATTAGTTTCTGCAAATGTTCTAAACAACACTGGAATCTAGCAATCTCTAGAAATAAGATCTGATATGTTGCAGAGTTCTGCTGATCAGAACAAATTTGGACCATTTGTTCAAGAAATATTTAAAGAGTGCCTACCATGAGCCATGTTCCCTTTCAAGCACTTGGGAAACATCAATAAACAAAATAGACATTCTAATTGGATATATTTAAACAATAAATGTATTTATTTATTGTTCTGGTGGTTCCCCAGTCTTCATTTATCAATTCAACAAAAGATGGACATTCAAAAAGAAAAAAGAAAAGCTTCCATTCAAACCTCATAGAAGAAAGGGCTGGAGGAGAAAAAGCAATAGGGCAAGAGAGGGCACAGGTGTGTGAATGGACCCAGAGCTCTTAGAAGAGGCACAGAGCTCCTACAGATGGAGAGATGGCAGAAGGTACTCTCCACAGGACCACAACGCCACTGGATCTCACCTGCTCCTGGTATCCTCTCTCACCTTCCTCTCCTACCTTCACAATGATTTCTACTTTAGGCATGAAGGGAGGTACCCTGAAACTGCCACAGCTGTGGTCCTCATTGGCCTTTATCTGTACCTCCTCCACATATTTACCTTTGGTCTTGTTCCAATGGGAAAGATTTTACCTGTTAATTATATACAAATGGATATGCTTGTTAATGCAAGCAGCAAAGCAAAAGGGACAAGCCGTAGTCTAGCAGGCCAGACAGGGAGGTCTTAGTGTCAGTTCTGCTGCTACAGTGCAGTGATCACTTCACATTTGGAATTGGTTTTCTCTTGCACCTGCCAAGCCCTGGGCTCCTGTCCTATTCCATCAGAGAAACAGTTATCTTGCTCTCTTCTCTCTTTCTTTCCCTCCTTCCCTCTTCCCTCCTTCCTCTCTCTCTATATGTGTGTGTATACAATATTATTTATGTAAAATACATATGTGACTGTAAATACATTGAAGTATATGGAAAGATACAGACCATTGTGTAAAATGATTGTCTCTAAGAGGCAGAGAGAGGGTGGAGAAGCAGTAAGACTGGATTTGAAAGTTTGCTCTATACAGTTCCATAAAGTCAACTTTTTGTAACATATATTACTATGTAATAAGAAAAAGACCAAGAACTAACACATCCACAGTAGCATGTGAACCAAGCTAGAGAAGGTGAATACTGAGTTTTATGTGTTTATGGAAAAATGTTTCTTGATTCCTCTCTTTATCCTGTTGAAATTGGAAATACAGAATGAAAATATTTAGAAGAGTAGTTAGGTTACTACTTTTCTTTGAAACACATGCATGTGCACACACACACATTACAATACATGTTTGATATATTTCATAATAAAATATTTTTAAAAGTTGGGCATGGTGGTAATCCAAGATACTTGGGAGGCAGAGACAGGAGAATCACAAGCTTGAGGCCAGCCTGGGCAAAGTTAGTGACTCCCCATCTCAAAAACAAAACAGAAATAAAAAAGAACTAAAGGTCAGGCTCAAGTGATAGAGCACTTGCCTTGCATGTGCGAGGCCCTGGATTCAACACCCAATATCAGAAAAAAAAAAAAAAACAACCACAAAACACAAAACACTGGGCAATATCCACCTAAACCGTAACCTCCTTCTCCAGGCGGGTTTTGATAGAGTCAAGTACTAGTTTACAAATGTGTACTCTGCAATACCGTTTTTGGGCCTCTAGTGCTTCCTTTGCTATCATCCTTTCTTCCTCCCTGGCTTTCTTCACGGCCTCCATCTTCTCCCTGTGGCACTCCATCATGATCCTTTGGATTCTGTGGACCATACGTTGTTCTGCAGCCAAGTGTTCTCTCTTCATTTCATCATCCATGTTTTGAAACATTGCTATCCTGGTTTTAGTTTCCATTTCCTTGAGTAATGAAAAAATTTGCTTTAGATATAATAACTTTGATGTTTAAAGTGAATATGAAGAGTCTAGATCTAAATCATATTTCATTCACCTGAAGGGTGTGTGCTTGTCAAACTGATGATTTAACACACAAAAAAATTTTTTTTTTGTAGCACTGGGTTTGAACTCAGGGCCTCATGGTAGCTAGGCAGGCAGTCTAACTGCTTGAGCCATTCTAACAGCTAAACTGATGATTTAAAAGAAGATTTTGCATGATATGAAAAACTTTCACTGACATGACATTAAAGTAAAACCAAAAATATCCAAACTATGCAGCATATACTTCTATATCTATCTATCTATATCTATATCTATATTATAAAGATCATATTGAAAGGTAATATGCAAAAAGGGAAAATAGATGGGTTAGAGGGGTAGGGTTAAAGGGCTTTGATTTTGTTTGTTTGTTTGCTTGTTTTGTCAATGCTGGAGACCAAACTGCTAGGCAAACACCCTACTACTGAGCTACATCACCAGCCCCAATTCTTTTCTTTTTCTTGATTGTCATATTATCATTACACATAGTTAGAAATACATAATATGATCCTACTTTAGTAAGTCCTGGAAAATTGCTGCCCTTCAGTCTCCACCACTGTGTGACCATTCTACCTCATTAGTGTTGGGGACCCTTTCTCATTCATGGGGTGGGGGCAGACAGGAACCCCAGTGCTCTGGAGTAGGAAGACCTGTGGATGGTTTTCAATCAAATAAAGAGAGGAATACTAGTCAAACCAAGACCTTTAGAGAAGAGTCTCACAAATAGTCCTAAAAGAAAAGCCTGTCATGTTTTAGAAATGCCTATTAACTCCACTGTGTGCCAAGCACTGTGCTAGGCTAAAATACTACAAACATGAGAAGGCTTGGGTCCTTGTTCTAGAGGACTCATTGTGTGGCAGAAGAGACCAACAATTCAATCATGCAATGAATGTTGCGTTAGAAATATACGCAAGAAAGGAACAGCCATTAAATCTGTCTAGGAGTTTCAAATCTTCTTTACAAGGTAAATTTTTATCTCTGTTTTAGGGAAGACAAATTAATTCATGTAGTCAGTCAGTGAAAGAACTAGGGACAGAAGCCAGGGTTCTCAACTTGGTTTTTCCCTTCATCACTGGCTGAGATACTGGAATCTTTCAAGGGATTCAGCAATTTATTTTCATCCAGAAACCCCACACAATCTTAAAAGACAGTATAATAGCCTACCCTCCCTCTCACTTCCTTCCTTCCCTCCCTTTTTATACCTGCAGAATCTCTTCTTCAAATGAAATCTTACGGAGTGTGGAAATAAATAAAACCAATAAGAATTCTCCTGGCTAGGGTTGCCCAATCCTCCTTGGAAGCCCCCTTTCTGTGAGGGCTCAGAAGCCAGCTCCATTTACTGTGCCTCCAGAAAGAAACCTCAGCTGAAGCTACAAGTTAAGAGAACTCTTAAGTTTCAAAGGAAACAACTTGTGTTTAGCTTCTTAGAACAATATTTTCACAACTATAATATCTGTTAAAAGGGCTGGGAGTGTAGTTCAGTGGTAGAGTGAAATTTGAGGCCGTGGGTTCACTCCTCAGCAGGGAAAAAAAAGAAGGCTGGTGGAGAGGCTCAAGTGGTAGAATACCTGCCTAGCAAGCATGATAAGGCCCTGGAATTTCAAAGCCCAGTACTACCAAAAAAAAAAAAAAAAAAAAAGTTACATAGGCTTCAGTTTTTCAAGAGAAGGAAAGTTTTTAACTTTTCACTTTGGTTACTCCAAGGATGAAAAATTTTTGAATGAAATGGACAACAGAGATCAACTCTAAGAATCTTTCCAGAGAGGCCTCAGTTGGTATATTTCAAAAATCCTTTAAGGAAAACTGATGATGTAGAAATACTAGCTGATTTTCTACATTGCTGAAGGCTTTCTCTATTAAATTGCTAATTTTTTTGGTGGTCCTGGAGTTAGAACTCTAGACCTTGTGCTTGCTAGGCAGGCACTCTGCCATTTGAGCCACACCTCTAGCCCTTAAATAGATAAATTTTTTATAATAAAATATTTTGGTGTTAATATCTCTAAATACTTTAACCCTTATTTCATATGGAGAGTACAATGAAATATTAAATATTCCTTGACAATCTGGACTCAGTAGATAAGTTGACTGATAATACTTTATAATTGTTCAAGATCATAGGCCCATTTGTCTGTCATAATGACCCCAGACTGCATTGTTGTGTAAGATTTGATATCAGCTCTTTGTAATATTTCTTGTTCTTCCCCTGCCTTGAGCTGAGACCTACAACTACTGTCAGTGAGTCCCTTTTTGTCATTTCTACTTTCTAGCATTTATTATATTTTAGAATTGAAAATCAAGTAAGCAAGCCTGTTGGGTTCAGGCTGTCAAATAAATGTCATGTCATCTGAGTGGGGGTAGGAGAGGTTCTACTATGGGAAATAGTTCTCTTATAGTCAGTCAGTGAATCCCAAGGCCTCTGCCTTTAACTCCTTCGGAGATATTTTGACTTATTTCTGGGTCTTAAAGTACATTCTCAGTAACTGAGGCTGCCAAGTGGCTGAGCTGTAGAAAGGTGAAGTATTACCATAATACATTTCAACTTCAATTATAGAATTTAAAAATGACATCAGCTTTTTATTTTGACTGGTTTCTGAACAAGGATTCAGAGAATTAAACTTTGTCTCTGTTTTATGCAGAGTTAGAAAATCAAAGATCATTTTCCTGCCTTGTAGCATGTGAAGTACATATTTAAGCTCCAAAAAAATTCAATAACTAATGTTTGGCAGTGCTCTTATTCACTGTAAGGTCTCCTGATTAAAGTATTTTTACCAAAGTGCATTTTGAGATATTAGAGGAAACAGCTTTATAATCTCCATCATATTTATTATTACTATACAGATATTTGACAGACTTTTTTTTCCTGTACTGGGGTTTGAACTCAAGGCCCAACTTTTGCTAGGCAGTTGTTCTACCACATGAGCCACACTTCCAGCCCTTTGTGCTTTGTTTATTTTTTAGATAGTGTCTCACATTTTTGCCTAAGCTGGCTTCAGACAGTGATCCTGTTATTTATACCTCTTGCATAGTTGGGATGACAGGCTTGCACCACCACATCCAGCTTACTGATTGAGATGGGATCTCACTTATTTCTTGCTCAGGCTGGCCTCACACTGTGATCAATCTCTATAACCAGAAAGTCCAGGAGAAAGAAGAGAACAGCCTATTTCATTTGTTCTACAACTATTTGTGCCCCATAAGTCAAGGCCTGCATGGCTAGCACGATGGCCAGATAACACTGATGGAGGCTGCAGTCATGAGGGATATCAGACATTAAACAAATGATCATATAATCAATTAATTACAACAGTGATGACTGCTATGAAAGAGACCAGGATGTCATGGACAGGGTGGCAGGGCCGGGTTGGTAGGGTAAAGCTTTCCTGGGGACTTAAGCTATGGGATTTTCCTTCACATATTCACCACTGCTCCATAAAGCTCAGAACTCTTCTGTGAACCTCAAAGGCCTCCCTCCCAACCTCTATGAAACACCAGATGAGACTTTACACATTAATGTTTTTACCCTCATTGCCCTAACAATTTAACTACTTTTTTTCCTTTACTAACTTTTGTTTAAGATAACAAACAAGCCCCTCTTTAAAAACAAAACAAAACAAAAAACCTGTAAATCTTGTTGATGTTTGTCTTCTAAAACCTGAATTTCAAATTTGTGTCTGGCATCTGCATCTTCGAGTGCTTTATCCACTGCTTGTTTTTGGAGCTCAATAGCCTTTAAAAGAGAGAAACCATTTACCTGCTAATACATTAAGATAAGCATCGGGCAACTTGCCATGTGGGCAGTTGGTAAATCTGGTTTTCATGTTTACTGAAAATTAACAGTCACCATAGAGTTCCCAATTGCTCACTCTATTCCCATCTCGGACTTCCCACAGCAACCTGGCTACCTTAACCAGAGATGTCCAATCATATTCCAGCCCTTGCTAACATCACTGCTTCAGGAGTTGTTAAAGACAAAGCAGTGTTTTTTGTAGGCTGTTGGGTTGCTTTTCCCCCCAGCACTTTAGTTCTTGCTTAATTCATTATCAGAGTACTGTGTGCTCATCATAGAAAGTATGGAAAACAGAGAAGTGGCAGATGTGCAAAGCTACAAGGAGTTGAGTACACACTAGGTTCCCTGCATGAGGGGTTCAGAAAGAAGTTCTATTACTTTATTTGAAGATAATACCCAGAATACTAGATAAACTTAACATTCAAACTGTAGACGATTCACAAAACATCTCCTTATATTAAGATGTATAAGTAATTGATGGTTCATAGTTAACTTGAATTTTTATTACTAATAAAAATAGATGGCTACCAAATTTTAATATATGTTGCCCTTTGCATTAAAGTATTTTGTGTATTGAAAACATTCATACCAAGCTTTTGCTGGTGTCAATACTAGACAATTCCAATACTATTTGCTGTTATCCATTTTATAAAGAAATAAAAAAGTATAATTTTCAGCACTGTGGCTTGTTCTGCCCCGAAGGAGTTTTAATTCTCTTTAGAAAGTCATTTATGTCATTCTATCTATGATTGGAAGAAGTGGGGCTTCAGGAATAAGGCTTTGCTCAATTTGTGAGCCCCAACCTTCAAATTGTGCCTATGGCACTCAGCAATCAGATGCAGAAGGTGTCATGGATGTGGGGTTGTTTGTTAGTTTTTTTATTTCAGATGGAGTCTCATTATGTTGTCTTGAACTGGTAGGTTCAAGTGATCCTCCTGCCTCAGCCTCCCAAGTAGCTGGACCTATAGGCATGGACCACTGTGCCAGAAGTAACAAGCATTTTGGAAACAGGATGAGAAGAGGATTAGACCAAGATGAAGCATTTGAAAAAATGGGCATTTAGTACAGTTGTATTGCATACAGTACAAATAGATGACCTATACTTTAAATGTATGGCCATAATAAACAATTTACAACATAGATACTCCTTTTCAAGTTTTAAACAAATGATAATAAAATGGGCAGGAATCATTCACAGAAAGAATAAAATTTAAATGGAAGCTCCTATGGGGTCCACTTCTCACTAAGCACCTACTGTGTGCTGAGCATGGTATTTCATTGAGCCCTCTCAACAGTCGCAGAAAGTAGGCATGATCCCTCTTTTATGATGAAGAAGCCAAGACTACAGAGATTGAAAAACTTGCCCAAGATCCCATAGGTGGCCAGGATTCAAAGTCAGTTCTCTCTGACTCATATGCTATATTTGCCTCATATGCTATATTTGTCATTTCAGACAAATCCAAAAAGTGAATAAAATGTAAAGGTGTAATTCAGATTGATTTCTAACTCCTTTTACCTGGCTCCATACTTTAGCTTCTGCTTTTGCAATACTTTCTTTGAGTATAGTTTCTTGAAATTGCTCTTCTTGATTCAGAATGTTTTCCCCAATATCTGTGTATTTGAAGAAAAATGTTCACAAATCTTAGTAAACTGTTTCCTGGCTTTCCTTTCTACCATTATACAGTTATTTATATGACCCATCCAGAAATATATCTTTTCAGGAGATGTTGACCTTTTCTTTTTTTAGTGGTCGTGATTGAATCCACCATGCTAAGCACTCATCCTACCACTGAGCTACACAATCTTTTCTTTAAAGATGCCCATCAGTAGGGTGAGCATTTTCCTAACTGATAGCAACAATCATGTCCAAACAGAATCAGCCATTAGTCATTTCCCTCATCACACCCAGTCCAGACAGTAGGCAACTGGGGAAGTCCATGATACAAATGCCCTGCAGAAAGTGGCACATTTTGGATACCCAGAGTTGAATGGCAGGTGAGTACTCAAGAGGTATTAGCAATTACACATTATCCAGCTCCTCTCTCCTTGCTCCTATCAGGGTGCTGTTGCTACCTGCATCAGGAAAGTGGAAGCCAAATGCCTTCTTTAATCCATTGTATATGTGTGGGTCTTCATGTGTTTAACTACTTCAGTTGTGGAGTGAGCTAAGAGCCAGTTTAGTGCTTGTCAGTTATCTGATTCCTAAATAATAAAATCTCATAATAACAACCTCTCTACACTGATAATAAGTCCATAGAGGTTAGAGGATCACACAATGGCAGATAGGCAGGCACAGACCTGGATCTGATCCAGAACTGAGCAATTTGGGCTGGTTATGATTTTCATTCCAGTGACTGTGCAAGGTGGCTCATAAATTGTTAGGGAGTGACAAGCCCTCTACATACTAAAATCACACTCTGATTTTTCTAATATAAACTCTCATAGTACTTATTCTTTATTCCATTCATTTCTCAAATCTTTGATAAGTTGAATTACTAATGTGTCATGTGATTAGGTCTTGAGGATCACCTTCCTTAAATTATAAAGCACATCTTATACTGCAATGTCTCTGTAGTGCCTAGCTTGGCAACTCACATATAAGATACTGTGGATAAATGTGTTTGTGCAACATCTCTTCTCTCCCTCTGGTACCAGGACCCTCTTTTCTCAAGATTTCCCTTCCTTACTTGAAATTGTTCTTATAAGACTGCTAATCACAGCATTCAACTTTCTTGACCTTTCTTTTTCAAAGCCATAATAATCAGTGCAGGATTGGACACATGTGCAAGCCTGGCCAAACAGGCTCTTCCCCAGAATTTTACATAAGGAGACCATAGCTCTTTTTGTCCTCTAGGATTTCTAAGCTGAGGTAACAGTGCTTAGAGCTATCTGGATCCTTCCTGGATGCTGGAGTAGACAACAAGGCTATCTCACTAAAAGAGTCAGCATGATAGACTGAAAGCCTGATTGCCAGATCCCCCTTGGGTTTCTTTTAAAAGAATCAAGCAATTCCATTTTATGCAATCTACTCTGAGTTGTGCTTCCATAATCTGCAACTAAAAGTCATGTTTGGTGGCATACAGCCTTTGCCACTAGATCCTTAGTGGGTATTAAAACATAAAACAGCAAATACTATGGTAGAGTTTGACACATACTGCAAAACCTCAACACTGTGTAGACACAATTATGAAAGATCTTCTGGAAGAAATGTGACGAGGCAAGGCCCACCAACATGTTGAATTTCATAAAAATGTGATACAAAAGTGGGCTGCTGTTACCCTTTGTAAATGCTTAAATCTCATTATTTTATATTTGTTGTTCTCAACCCTGATTATGCAAGATATCTTCAAGAGCTTTTAAAAAAAATACCTATGCTAAGGAAAAACTATTAATACAAACAACTTCCATGAATCTAAAAGCTGTTAAGCTGAGTGAAAAAAAAAACAGTATCAAAAAGTAACATGTTGCATGATTCTGTTTGGTAGCATTCTCAAAGTGATGAAGTTATTGTGATAGAGAACGTAATGACTGCCAGGGGTTTGAGTTAGAGGGAAGAGTATGACTATTCATGTGCCTGAGTTAATAACATTGTTCCAATGCCAATATCCTAATTTTCCCAATGTACCAGGATTATGTAAGACATCAATGGAAGAAGTTGGGTGAAGGGCCCATGGGAACTCTTTGGTCTATTTTTGCAACTTGTGAGTTAGACTATTTCAAAATAAAAAATTATTAAAAGACATGATCTAGAGGTACTAATGTAGTAGGTCTGTGTTTGGATAGTTGTATTATAAACAAAACTTTCAGCTGGGTGCCCGCAGCTCATGCCTATAATCCTAGCTACGGGTAGGCAGAGATCAGGAGGATGGTGGCCCAAGGCCAAAGTTCTATAGTACACTGCTAGGGTTGAAAACTACTGTTCTATGCCATATTCATATTCATTAGCTCTTCAATAGATAGTTCAGCATGCTTTGAACTTATAAAGAAAAGATTTTGACTTTCTTTTGACTTAAAACAAATTAATGACAAATATAGGTCACTGCATATAAAACATTATTTGTAACTAGGTAAATTTATCTGCTCAATGTTTGGATTCAGATATCTGACAAGACACAAGGAATTCAGTCATTAAAGCATATCTAAGAATGGGAATTACACTATCTTGGTTATTGAATAACACAATGTCTAAAAGTCATTTTAGAGATGATAATTCATAGAAAGAATTTGCTAAAAGTTAAAATCACTTTGATATTAATATTTTTAGAGAATAACTCCAATTTTATCTTTCTTAAATTTTAGTTTAACCCTCTAGCTTCTTATATTTTAGAAAATCAGGAATGAAATCAAGTCACTACTAATTAATCACATTAAAGGAAGAGAGAGTCAGAAAAATATTTTGAGGTTCCTTAGGAAAATACATATAAGGTTCAAAGTTATATTGAAAACTCTATGGGGATAAATGAGAGATGCAAATCTGTAAATTATAATTAATTTGCTTATATATCATATGTGCATATGTATGTACACTAAATATTCTCATGTTATTTACACATATCTACTTCTGTCAGCAGCTACTATTTAGAGGCTATAGTTTCTTTCACTCATTTATTAGGGTACTATTTAGAGATATTTCCTCTCCTACACATATGGAAAGTACTCAAGTAGAAGCAAGGGTGAAAAGAACTATTATGTTCCAGGTGTTATAATAGATACAAATATTTCATTAAAGCCCAATAACAACCTGAACAATACACGTAAATGCTCTTATTTACATATAAGGAAACAGACTAAAAGGCTAAATACCCTATCCATTGCACACAACTGGCAAGTGGAGAAGCTGGATTCCACCACATATCAGACACCCTGTAGGGACAAGCAACTTGAACAAGGAGAAGCTGATAAAAATCTACTAATAAGAATAACATATAATGCTATTACATGTAGAACAAAGGAAAATAATAAAGTCACTTACCTAGTATATCTTTGTGAGTGTAAAAGCGTGTCTTAAATGGCTTGTATTCGTGGATCCGTTGGAAAGTTTCCCCAAAAGGGGCTGGTGGTATGATTTTATTACAAACAGCACAGCAAACAAAGTTTGTGTAATCTGGATTTCTGATCATCGTTAAATTTCAGATGACTTCTACTATTTATAGTTAAAATAATCTTAGAAAAAGTAGTTTTAAGAGACGCTACAAGTTTAAGAAAGCTGTGAGAGGATTAGGGTTTTAAAATAATGCTAGAGGCTGATAAGGACTAAATGATGTCATGATTAGGTAGTAGTATGTGCTTAATGTTAAAGAATGGTATTAGAACCTCTGCCATATAAAGTATGGGCACTGGATTTGGGAAGATTTAAGCAGCTGCTCCCTCCCAGGTCAAGCATTAAATGTTAACTACTTAGTGACTGTTGCTAGGTAAGATAAGCTTTGCTCATAAAAGCAACTTGAAATAATGAAGAAAGGGAGGATTTTGCAACTGTTCATTTTTTGACACCTTATTAGTTTCCTGTTGCTGCTGTACAAATTAACATAATCTTCATGGCTCAACACAACACAAATTTATTCTCTTGAATTTCTGAAGGTCAGAGTCCAAAATGAGTCTTTTAGGGTTAAAATCAAAATGGCAAGAGAGCTGGTTCCTTCTGGAAGTTTTAGGACCTTTAGGAGAGAATCTGTTTCCTTGCCTTTTCCAACTTCTAAATGCCATCCACAATCCTTGAGCTCCAGGTCTCTCAGTCTCTCATCATATGTCCTTTTCCCCTCCTGCTTCTGTCAAGACAGAAGCTGCTGCTTCTGGAAGAAACATTGTCTCTTCCTGTGATCTTCCTCCCTGTAAGACCTCTGAGTGTACCAGACCCATCCAGATAATCCAGAATTTCACCCTCTCAAAATTCTAAACGTGATCACATCTGCAAAGCCCCCTTTGCCATATAAAGTACCAGTGATAAGGATCTGGACATCTATTTAAGAGAGGGGAACATTATTCAGCTGATCACACTTTGTTTTAAATAGGTTTTTAAATGAATTTTTTTTTGAGGCCAACAATGAGGCAGTTTCTTTCTTTTCAAGTTTATTTATTTATTTTGGTGCTGGGGATAAAACCTAGGGTTTTCCAGGTTATTTATTATAAATGTGGTATTTTGGTGCCATGGCAATAAAACTGGGAAATACCAAAATATCTTAAAGGTAAAATTACTTTGTCAGTATTCAAAATTACTAAATATGGTTTTTAAGAGCTGACACAACCAATTTGTTCCTATGACTTAAGAAAAACAGCTTTAGAAATTCTGCCTATTATAAACATTTATACAAATGATTATACCAAGCTATTGAATTGTTTAAATTGCTTAACAATATCATACATGGCAACTGCCAGGCAAGACTCATTTTATAATGAGACAATATTAATTTGAACAATAGAACTCCTATAGGGCTCTGAGGTGTCACAAAAGTTACCCTAGAATTCCTTCATGAATTACAGTTATATTGACTAATGGCCTGATAACTGGCTGAAGACCTTAAATATCTATCAAATGGTTTATAGTTAATTGGGGTTTGGGATTGGGAGAGAGGAAGAGAGGGAGGAGACAGATGAATTCCTACCAAAATTTAGACCACTGAATGCACATAGTTAATTATCTGGACTGAGAATACAGGCCACACGTGTAACCAGACTACAAAAAGGAAAAACTTTGGTGCAGCCAGCTTGTGTGCTGGCCAGTTTACTCGCTTGTTAATCAAACTGACATTTTTCCTCTTTTTGTCTACATGCTGGAGAACCCGAAGATAACAATCTTTGCTCTTCAACTAAACCAGGCATCTTCTACCCACTCTCTCTCTCTAACCACAGGTAAACCTGGAGAACTAAGGCTGGCACCTATTGTAGAACATGCATTTTGTCATGTACACAAAGTAAGCCATTGAACTCCCCTTAAAAAACAGGTATTTTCCCTCAGATGGGGGACTCTCCGTCTTCCTCATCTGATGAATAAACAACTCCTGCTTTCATTATTTGTGAATTGGCATTGAGGCTGGGCAAGTAGCTTTCTAGTAACACTTGTGTCAATATGATTCTACTTGTTATTCCTAGAAAATCTTGCCCAGAAGGAAGTATAGTGAACTGCCCTTTTTAAAACTGAAATTCTTGTATCACAAAAACCCTCTCCATGCCTGGCAAACTGGAAGGATTGGTCAACCTATGGAAGATAAGGCTGTAAAACCAATAACTATCTTCATTGTTTGCTTTCAAAAATTCTTGAAAACCAATTTATCAATTAAACAGCTAGTTGATTTGGGCAAATAGCCTATCTGAACAAATGGGCCTCCCCTGGGCAAAAAGGTCACTTACCTTTTATTGAACAATTGCTTCCTTATCAAGACTTGCTTTAAGGCAGGCTCCAGTGGCTCATGCCTGTAATCCTAGCAACCTAAGAGGCTGAGATTGGCAGGATCACAGGTTCAAAGCCAGCCTGGGCAAATAGTTCCTGAGAGCCCATCTCTAAATAACCAGAATAAAATGGACTGGAGGTGTGACTCAAGCTATAGATTGCCTGCTTTATAAGCACTGAAGTCCTGAGTTTAAAACCCAGTCCAACCAACCCCCCCACCCCAATACACACACACATGCACATCCCCTTCTTAAACACAATGGACTTCACAAAGTGACAGTAGATTTAATAAACATAGTTTTGTTTAATCAACAGGTAGTTCTGATGGTCTTTGGGGAAAGTCGGCAGTTAACAAAACACAGGAGTATTTCTGTTCTTAAGACTTGACTTACACAAAGAGGAGGTAAAGTATGGTGAAAAATCTCTAGACTTAGGAGCAATGGGATCCAGGTTCCTGTCCTGACTGAGGATTACCGTGATCCTGGGTAAATCTTTTAACTCTTCTCGGCCTGTTGTCTTAACTTTAAGCTGACAGGATTGGGGCAAGCAAAGGTCAAAATCCTATGACTATTTCAAAGGGTATTGTATTTTTGGTTGTTATGCCCTCATTCAAGAGAAAGGATAAAAACATCAATACATAGCCAGGTAGCTTTTGAAATTCTGCACACACAAAGATTCTGCTATAATCTGTAACCACTCTGTAAAGATTGTAAGGATTTGTTTCTAAAATTCAGTGTGATTCTTCCCTCATCCTCTTTCCACAGCTGGGTGCTTGACTGTTTCTCTTGCTATTCTGCCTCCTTCACATAGTTGTCACATGTCTTCAGGCTGCATGCTATCCATTTTCTGCTTGCCCTTATGTATTGTGATAACCTCTTGACAGTTCACTCAACTACTATTTCCCCTATACTGAATAAAAAAAGAATTTTAAAAGATGACAATGTGTCAACAAGTGCATAAGCTGAAAACAGAACCCTAGATCTGTTTCAACCAAAATACACAGGGAAACCAAAGGCAATAGATATTTAAATTAGAAGGCATTTGTACCACATAAGTGTATTTTAAGCTATATAAAGTGTACTATATGGAGAGATAGAACAGAAATATTTAGGGCTTAATAGTAAAGATTTAATTTAGACCCTTGTAGATACAAACTCAATCAGCTAAGGTCTTTAATATCTGTAAGTCAGACATAATTGCATCTTCATGTACCTTATAAATCACAATACTAGAAATTAAAATTAACACTCTGCCTATACTGTTACTATTACTTGGTAATAACAAATGAAACAAAACTTCAGAGTGGGATTTACTGCTGAGTCCCAATAACAATGATTTAGAGAATAGGTAAATATTTGTAAGTGAAACAGGTCTAAACCCCTATCAGGAAAATTAAATTATGTAAAATAAATCCAGTATGATAAAGAGACACTATTTACTGCATAATTTCAATTTTTCCCCCATGGGACTGCTGTTTGAATTCAGGGCTTCATGCTTGCAAAGTAGGTGCTCTACTGCTTGAGCCACACCTCCAGTCCATTTTGCTCTGGTTATTTTGGAGATGGGTTTTCATGAATTATTTGCTTAGGCTGGCCTCAAACCACTGTTATTCTGATTGTAGCCTCCCAAATGGCTAGGATTACAGATATGACTGCCACACCTGGCTATAATTCTAGTTTTTTTTAATTTATTTATTTATTTTTATTCATATGTGCATACATTTGGGTCATTTCTCCCCCCTCCCCCCATCCCCTCCCATAATTCTAGTTTTTAAACAACTACTTTAAGCTAGTTGTTTACACTTTCTTTAAAAAAAAATAAGAACTGGAGCTATGGCCCAAGTGGTAGAGTGCTTGCTTAGTAAGCACAAGTTCCTGAGTTCAAATCCCAGTACTAGGTGGGTGCTGGTGGCTCACGCCTGTAATCCTAGCTACATCAGAGGCAGAGATCAGGAGCATCTCAGTTTTTAAGTCAGTGTAAATAGTTCACAAGATCCTATCTTGAAAATACCCAAACACAAAAACAACTGGCAGAATGGCTCAAATGGTAGAGTACCTGCCTAGCAAGCATGAGGCCCTGAGTTCAAACCCCAGTACTATCAAGAAAAAAAACCAAAACTTAAAACCCCGTACTGTGAAAAACAATTTCAATTACTTTGTATTATTCTCTCATTTAATCATTATTTTAGTAGGTGAGGAGTGATATCTTCTCAATTAAAATAATATTCTAAACCAAAAATAGCTGAAATAGAAGTCAAAATACATGAATTATCTGTGACTGTAAAAACTATTTGTCAGAGCCAACTCAGTTTTCATTTCTCATACCTTACTATTGACTTCTCTTTCTTTATAAATACAGGTTCTATGCTAGGTAAAAAACAACATTTCCTTTGCAAACAGCTAAAACAAAACAACTCTCCTAACAACTGCAAAGTCACAATTCACCTTTAGACATTAAAAACTCCATACAAGTTCAACAGCGTTGGGTACTTTTATTATACAGAACATAATAATTAACAAAATAACTTCCACACTCCAGGCACTTTTATAAGGAGATGAGAATATTGAGCTCTTTCTGTGGGAAAAGAATGAGAGAGCAGCTGGAAGTGTAAAGGGACAAAATTTACTACAGCAGTCTGCTACCTTGTCTCCTCATTAACATATTCTAGGGCAGGAAATATCACTCTGTGCACTAAAAAAGTCTCTTATTTGAAGATTTCAGAGCCTTTAATAAGCTCCATCTGCAGGAAACAGCATTTTAATCCCATTTAGATGTTTTCCTCCTCATGTAACTGTGCCCCTCACTATCAACAGCTTCATAGAGGTCCTTTTTGTTCTCTTGTGTTGCATGTAGATAACCAATATAAGCCACGCAAAGTGAAAGGGTTACCAACCCAAAAGCCATTACAGGTTTGTTCTGTCAAAGAAAAAAATTATAAAGCCTCATTAAGATGAAAATTGGAAGAGATGGAAACATCTGTTGCTCTTTTCTCTTGACAGGCCACCAGCTCTTTATTACCACACTAGCATTCCAATGATAGCATTTCAATTACAATCGTTCAATTAATTTGCTCAACTCTTGATTATTTAGAGATTACAGAAGACTCTGGCTTCTCCTCTCCAGTCTTTCTCCTCTCTACAGCTTGGACATCTTAGACCTCCACCCTCAGAAATGAAACCTGAGAGATGAGTGAGGCAAGGACATTGGTCTGGTGCTCAGATTCTTCAGTGGTATCTGTGTAATATGGAGAAGTCTTCCCATGTGCAAACTCAATTTAGTTTATTTTATAGGAAGTGAGGAATGAAGTACACGTGCTATTATTTTTGTCCAAGACATGGATAACTGTTAAAAGCCTTTCATAACCTATAGTAGGCATTCCAATAATGACAATGCATACTCTTTTCTGGAAACCTACTCTATTGTCTTAAGAAATTTAGTGATTGGAACATACACTACACTGTTATCATAACATTGATGTACTCCTGGAAAAACTAAGACTCTAGCAAGCAACCGAATTAAAGGTGGGACAGGGGAGTTTTTAAATATAGGAAAGCTTCCAGAGAAGTGTTTTATTTATCCCTGAAACTATAACTCAGACCTCTCTGTGTGCAAGTTTGTACCCAAAAAAATTGGCCTTTCTTAGGTTAGTGAAGATGCACAGTAGTAGTACAAGTAATATTTTCTACTTCTGTCTCCATAATAGTTCCCCTTTATCCTGAGGATATGTTCCAAAACCCTCAGTGGATGTCTCAAACCACAGATAGTAGTACCAAGCCTTTATAGTAATAGACTATGTTTTGCCTATACATACATATGTATGCTAAAGTTTAATTTATAAATTAGGCAAATAGGAAAATAACAGTAATAAAATACAATAATTATACCAATGTATTATAAGGAAAGTTACATGAATAGTTTCTTTCTCCAGTCAAATATTAATATTTTTAGGCCACAGTTGATAGCAAACTGCAAAAAGTGAAAACACATAAGGGAGGACTACTGCACTATTTCAAAGCTTAATTACAAAAAAGATAAGGGTCAAACTTTTCTACTTGGACAAACACCTACGAAAGGCCACAAGCTCAGAGCATTTAAATTTGCAATTCTTAAAATGCTTTTAGCAATTAAAAGAATACATTAGTTGAAAGTTTTAAAAATACTCTACCTGTGACAGCATTTGCCAAGCAAGCACAAAGCCTTGAGTTTACTGCTGAAAAAAATTCTATCTTGATTTAATAATTTATGTTGACCTGTTTAACATTAAAATTGCTTACACTGGCCAATTTTATTAAAATTTTAATTAGACTTACTGTACTTAAATATTGTATAATTTGATTTCATTGATATTTATCTTAAAATAGGATTTATATTTAAAAATAAAACTCATTAAATCAAATATATTCACTAAATTACAATATAAATGACTCACCACCTCCATTAACAGTATATAAATATTTCAGAATTTTTCACAAAAGGTTTGCAATGTCACCTAGATAATAATTAATATAGGCTGGAATTGCAGCCTATAAGACTAACAGATTTTCATTCTGGTCTCTGTTTCAGTGGAAGGTCTTATTTACCTAATAGTATGATCAAATGATAAAAACTCTTCAAAGTAATGCAACAACTAAACTAGTACATTAGTTTGAGAAGTTGACCCATTAAAATGCAACCATTTTCATTATAATTCCCAAATATCCTCAAAATATCTTGCTTTATCTGTATTTATATGTATAACAACATTTAAAATTTTTCTTTTACTTGCTTTTATTCAGAGGTCTTCTTAGGCAACATAAAATAGCTATGAAAACATCAAATGCTACATACAATAAGCTTTCTATTTCTGATAGCCTGATTAAACATAAAATCTTATCCTGGCTACATTTCTTACAGGTTTAATGAAGAGTTCTGGATTCACAGCTCGAAACAAGGTTGTTGTGCGCACCCCTCTGAACCCTGGGTTTTGAAAGTCTTTCTCTTTGGGTGGTTCCTTTTTAAATGTTGGAGGCTCAGGGGTTGATGACATCTTGACTAATGACGATTTATTACCTAAAAACAAAATAATAATATTTTTCCTTCATAATTGTTTTTGATAAACCTCTTTTAAAGATCACTTATACACATTCTTTGTTTTTGAAGTCTAGATATACACTAAAAGTGATTGTTAATTCTTATTATTTTGGTAAGTGATGCTGTAAGTTTTGTTTGGAAAAATGGTTATTTTAATCTCAAAAAACACCAGTGAAGTAGAAATCAGAAGTCTGGAGAATGATTTGTTGGTTTGAGTTACACTGTAATCTGTTATACAAAGCAAAGGCTAAGGGTAGGAGAAGCCAGCATATAGTCCACCTCTTATTTCCTGTTTTCACTTTTTCTCACCTTCCAACTGCCCTTACCCAGCAACCTCAGGGAAATACTAGCATTCCTTGGCTCAACAGCTCCTTCTACAGCTTCACCCCTCATCTTCCCTGCCTTCCTCCACTGGTTCACCCAAGCACCAGTTGTACCAAGCAATAAAGTAGCTGCTTCTATTCACTCCCCATTTGCCTATTAGCAATTCTCTAGGAATGACATGCTTAGCTACTCTAAATCTATCCTATTAAAGTCAAGTGTCTTGTCTTCTGGTTCTCCTACCTATACAGTCAAAATTTGGGGAATATTTTTCTCCTCCAGGTATCATTCCTGTCACCTCATGCTGTGATGGGAGGTGGAAAAGAGGAGGTAGAGCAATAAACCAACCAAAGACTAAATGACAATAGTAAGTAGAATTCTTTGGGGAGAAGTTGCAACTTTCACTGGTGCTTTATTTGTACAACTATTCTCTATTCATTAAGTCTTCTATTTTACACACTTAAAAACAATATTTTTACAATTTTATGGTTATGGAGTGAACTAGGTGCTCAGTTATTTTAAAATACTTTGTGGTGCAGTGATCACCATTAACTTAAAGCTCTTTACATACATACTTCATCAGGAACATTTGCTTGAAGGAAAAGAAGCCTCCACTTTCTCTACTAGCAAAAACTTTAGAAATGTTCACTGTTGGCTGTTCTATCACTTATTTTCCATGTATGTTATTTTGTCATTGTTGATGTCTTCTCCATCATCATCACTACGGCTTTCTGGTTTCAGTTTTCTATCAGTGAAAACTTCTCTAGCAACTTCAGGATTTGCTAACTCTTGGGGAATAAATTGCTCCTGGCAGCCACACAATCAAACTGGTTTGGGACAAGTAACAAGTGCTAGATTGGCTTGAATACCAGGGTAAGTTGCAGTCTTCTGGGTGTACCTTGAGGGATTCCACAGGAACTATGCCTGTTTTCTGCCAACGTTTCACTGCTGTGGATAACTTTATAGACCACTGGGTTTCAGCAATCATGTCAATGACTTGCTTTATTTTGATATTCTCCATTTTTTCCTCCTTATCTAAATTCTGAGTTTTCCCAAGACTGGTTTCAGTAGTGAGTTTTCACTATGTGACTTGTACCCTGATCTGAAAGCCACAGAATGGTGTGCAGTTCAATAGGAAAACTTAACACATATACAATCTGAGGGTGGGAATATTGTGGGCAGTGATGGTCTTAGAAAATACTGTTTGCTCCTGTCATTCTCTTATCAGCTGTTCTCAGCCATTCACTAATAAATCTGTAACAATTTGCCTTGGTAATTACAAGGAATAAATGAACTATTCTGAAGCACTGGAGGTTAGCTGACTTACCAATTTCCAGTGATACAAAAAGCATTACAACAGAACAAAGTAATCATCAAAATCTGTTTACTTCCTTGCAGAGTTCACCATTGGCAGGAACTATATGATGTTAACAACTGGTAAAGTACACCTTTTTCATCAGCATTTGAAACTCTATTCAAGCTTTAACTAGCAATTGTTAGGTTTGTGTTTTAAATTTTCTCCTGCATAAAAGTTACTAATTTTATCTAATGGAACAGTATTTTCACCACAGGTAACATCTGAAATAATTTCATAACATACCTGAAATTTATTCACCAGTTCATACTTGCTTGAAGCTTACCATGTCCAAAGCTGGTAAAAATTCAATGCTTTTTATACAGGTAATTAATTGCCTGTGTAATATTAAATGCCCATTTCTTGGAACCTCTTGATATCCTACATAACAGCTACAAAAGGTACCTCACACTCACTCCTGCTTTAGTGCCAGAATCTCTTTTTTTAAAAAACTTTACCTTCAATCTTTCAAAAATGTGGAGAATGTAGAGGGTATGATACCAAATGTGCTATTTCTCTTATCCTGTGACAGCAATCTACTATTTTCACTATTGTCATTTTTTTCTTCTAATGAAAACTGTTGTTTCATTTTCCTTCTCTTGACCATGATGGCAGGATAATGGTGTGTACAAATGTATTTAAAGTTTAAGTAACAAATCAACTTAGGCCAGGGACCTAAGCCTGTTAACAGTGATATATCTCTTTGTGCTAAAAACTTGCTTGACTACAAATGTGGGGAAGGAGTAAATGCAAAATGAAATAATCATTAAAGTGGAAGCACTTTTGTCTATCAACAGGCTATATCTATAAGAAATGTTAGGCAGGAAACAGTCAACACTATTAGGCCTGAATCATAGCCTCAGAGTTTTCCACTACTGGGGAAGTAGTAAAGATACTAGGAAGGCCTGAAAGAGTAAATATACAAAGGTAAGTTATTCTACCCAGAAATTGACACAAACAGCATTATCCTTTATTACTGGAAAGCAGCTGCATGTGATTAAAACAAAGATATCCTATGAAAATGGATTAAAGTTGTCCACAGAGAAGAAAAACAAGGTAATGGGGGAGATGGGTATAGAGAGTGCATATTATAGAGCATAAACAGGTCCTTAGAACATAGTTTTATCATGTTTATCTACTTTGTGTAGATGATAATGTGAGGGAATTGAGGATTTTTAACTCACTCAACACCTAAAGTCATAAATCTCTCTCTCTCACACACATGCGCAGGGACACTAGTTATGGCCAACAAAAACTTCATTAGAGGTAGAGAATCCCTTACCTGAAATGCTTGCAACCAAGTCTTTCAGATTTTTATTGGAGTTTGGAACATTTGTATATAATAAAGTATCTAAGGGGTGGGACTTAAGATTAAACATAAAATTCATTAATGTTTCACACACGTATACCTTATACCAGTATAGCTTAAAGGTAACTTTATATAGTATTTTTAATAATTTTGGAGATGAAACAAAGTTTGTGTACACTGACCCATTAGAAAACAAAGATGCCCTATCTCAATGGCCATATGGATATCTGTGATTGTTTGGCACCACTCTCCTTCCTCACTCTGAATTCATTTGCTGCCAGTGAGCAGTCATTTTCTTACCCTTATTTACACATAAGCATTGAGTAAAAAAAATATGACACACCAGTAATACTGTGAAAAGATCATGTGTTCTGGGTAACTAGGCAGCATAGCAGCCCTCACTAGAATCCCTGTGCCAGCTGTCAAACAGCAATTTTCAGTTTCTACCTGCAATGCTGTGTTTGGTTAAAACGTTACTGTGCCCAATATTTTTTTGTTCGTGTTTTTAGGTTAGAAGAAAGACCAAAAGCAGTTGAGGGACCAGGAAGCGGGTCCTCTAAGGCTGAAGAGGTATGTTGCTGGGTGGCATTTTTAAATGTTTCCTCCAGAGCCACCTGCCTCATTAACAACCGTTTTTGTCTTAGAAGCTGTTCTTTGATTTTATAAACTGCCGAAATTTCTTGTTCTGTTATAAATGCACGCTGTTCTAGTCCTTCAATAAGCCCATCACACAGTTGCACCATGTCATCGAGAGGCCCTTTTTCTGTGGTATTATCAGCATTGTCCTTCTCATTAATATCATCACCTTGATTCAGGACCATTTTGTGTATTTCACCATCAGTCAATGAATGAACTGGAGCCTCATTAATGCTAAAAACTTCTTCAATGAATTTCTCTGCTGCTTTGTGACCAGCAGATGCTTTATCACCACAAATTTTAAAAAATTTAATACCATGTCTTTTCTTAAATTTCTGCAACCATCCTGTTGAATATTCACAGTTCCCTTCAATTTTCAGTTCATTGTGATAGATCTTTGCTTGTTTCATGATCAGCACACCATTCAATGGCATGTGTTCCCTGCGACGCTGACAGATCCATTCTTTCAATACTCGATCGAGATTTTCATTTTTAGCTTTATGCAGTGTTTTTCTATTTTTCATTAACTTTGGCTCATCACTTTCAGCATAGAATTTCAACAGTTTATCCTTCTGTTTCTTCAGGTCATATATGGTAGTCATTCCAACACCATATTCTTCAGTGAGATGTTTCACACTTACACCACTGTCCAGTTTTTCCAATAGCTTGACTTTCTGTGCAATAGATAAACATAAATGCTTCCTCTTTTTCTTATCACTGTTACCCACAAGGACATCTGCAGGCCTTTTTGACATTTTCAATGATATATTTATACCACAGAGCAGAGAATAAGCAAAATAACACAGTGAGTTATGTACACAGGTCTTGGTTCCATGTGAGACATCATGAGGAACCTGCCGTTGGCACACTGTGCCTGCACGAATGCCAGTTTATTATCCATCAAGGATCTGCTTAGGTGGGGGAATTTGGGCACGTGCAGATGTTATAACAGCTGAAGGGGCCTGGGAAGATCTTTTTTCTCTTGGGGATGCTGAATAAAAAGTGTATTGTGCACATGAACCTTGACTGCAACCTGTTACATGAGGTCAAGTGTGGAATTTTCCACTTGTGGCATCATGTTGGCACTCAGAAAGTTTCAAATTTTGGAGCACTTCAGGTTTCCGATTTTCAGATTAGGAATGCTCAACCTGTGTTTTAAAATTAAAGGGATGCAGTGATGTTGAATGTCATGAAATTCAATCTATATGAGACAGGAGTCTAAAAAACTATCCATCTATCTAGTGTTCTAACACAAATTCTAATAACAATTTCAGTTTCAAGATTAGTTGATCTCTTTTATTCTTTTGTGGTAATGGGGATTGAACTCAGGGACTCCACTCTACTACCTGAGCCACACCCTTCTTTTTCCTGCAGAGCCTGTATTTCCTTTGCAATGAATCAAGAAAATATCCAGTCAAGGTAGTATTTATACTGCAACATCCAAACATCCACATTCACCTTAATAATACTTTTATCAGAACTGACAATTACAGAATACTTAAGACTATAAACCCACATGTATATTTAAAAAGATTTAATATGCCACAATTTCCATTTCTTGTGATACTTTCTATAAAGTATGAAAGTAATATTTCTCATTATTATTTTTCTTTTATTAGAAATGGGCAATGCCAGGAGCCAGTGGCTCATGCCTATAATCCTAACTACTAAGGAGGATCATGGTTTGAAGCCAGTCCCGGCAAATAGTTTGCAGGACCCTATCTTGATAAAACCGATCACAAAAAAGGGCTGGTGGAGTGGCTCAAGGTATAGGCCTTGAGTTCAAACCTTGGTACCAAAAAAAAAAAAAAAAAAGTGGAGCAGCCGGGTGCCAGTGGTTCACTCCTATAATCCTAGCTATTTAGGAGGCTTAGATTGGGAAAACTGTGGTTCAAGGCCAGCCTGCACAAATAATTCACGAGAACCCATAACCAGAACAAAATGGACTGGAGGTGTGGCTCAGGCGGTAGAGTATCTGCTTTGCAAGTGCAAAGCCCTGAGTTGGAATCCCAGTCCTACTAAAAAAAAAAAAAAAAAACCAAGAAAGAGAGAGAGAGAAAGTGAGACAATGGCTGGAGGTATGGATCAAATGATAATGTGCCTGCCTAGCAAGCCCAAGACCCTGTACTCCAATTCCAAAAATAACAAAAAATCCCCAGTAGATGTGGGGCAAGACAGTTCAGTTTTATTACTGGTTTTCCTTTTATGAGTTAATCAATGAAGATGTTATAATAGGTCTACCAAAATGCATGAACCTGTTTATACATTAATAAAGAACTTTTAACACCATGGATATTTTCAATATAGATTACTGAGGCCAAAAAGGATCTTAGTATCCAAGAATTTGTTATATAACTATAAAAATAAAAACTATAAAACCCTTGCATATGAGAGAAGGTTCTTCATATGCCTGGCCCACAGAGCTGTACATGTATGGCTGGGGCAGAAAAAGATGTGCTAGATGAGTAAGAAAAGTATGAATACAAAAACCGTAGTTGTTTCTTCATATGTATAAATTACTTTTTTGAAAAACAAAAAGGTGGGCTGGCGGTGTGGCTCAAGTGGCAGGGCGCCTGCCTAGCAAGCTCAGGGCCCTAAGTTCAAACCCCAGTGCCTCCAATAAATAAAAAAAAAAAAAAAAAAAAAGGAAGGAAAGAAAAAAACACTTGTTCAAGTTTACTTCAGCAAGTAAACGAGTAAACTTGCAGAGTAATAAGTTCAAAGTACAGCAATAATCTATCCTAACATTACCGCTCAGAGGAAATGTTAACATCAAGCACACTTCTATCAAAACTTCCTAAGTCTTCCCATCACTTTCTCCAAACCCTTACTACCCCCCACTCCTTTGCAGGTAATTAGGATTTATTTGCATATAACGCTGACCAGTCTCTAGTTATAATAACTTTGAGATGTTTATTTTTAAGCTGGATTTAAAAAGCTCCTTTATTGTGTTAAAAGGGGACTCATACAAACACATGAATACACTGGCAGAGGATAACAGAAACTTGGCATTGCACAGCTCCTAAGCAATTTGGTGATTAATTTATGTGTGGGCCCACTAGCAAAATAACAAATCAGGCACTGCTGTCTGTGCAATCTGCTCAGGTGCTCTGATTCTTATTTCTTCTTCATTTCCCCATCACCCACTTCTTGTTCCTTTATTCACCATCAAGAAACTGTCATTTTTATGTGTCTCTTTTAGAGGACAGTAGAAATTTTCATACTTGTGTATTAAAAATATCTATACTAAGCTGCATTTATTTCATTATGTCACTCCCTGGTAAAATATTCTTTGCCTTTTTCTTCTGCCTTTCTTCTCTTCCTGTGAAGGAAACATGGAATAGGAAGAAGATAAAGGACTGCTCTTTTACACAACTCCCTGAGGGTTATTTATATCTTGAAACCTGAGAATGTGGCCCCATGGAATTAGTGACACACAAAATGAAAGGCATATAAGACAGAATCAGAACTGCCCATTTTTTAGTGGTTTTCTCTATTTTAGTAAAATTTTTTTGCTCAGATGATCCAGAATGGATTTGGCAACTGACATGAAAAATTCACTGGCATGACCATATCAAATTACAATATGTACATGAAAACTGGACCAAGATACAAAGACTGTAAGAATTACTTTGAGGGGCATTGGTGGTTCACATCTGTAATCCTAGCTACTCAGGAGGCAGAGATCAGGAGATCAAGGTTCAAGGCCAGCTTGGACAAATAGTTGGTGAGACCTCCAAAATATCTAACACACACACACACACACACACA